TCTCAGGATTCCTGGTTCATGTGGCGGTTCTATTTATAATTCAAAGTACACACACTGTTGTATCATATTCTATAGAACAGAAGGAAGAGAAGTGGATACGGTACCTTGAGGTCTTGATTTGATTTTATTTCTAAAAAATGATAGCACCAAGAGAACCCACCTTATCGTACTTCTATGGATCTCAGAACAGATAATGTGTGAATTTACTTAGAAATGTGGATAAAATATTACAACCATCAGTTAATAGTTTGCTACATATGTCTTAGACTAGATTCCTAAATTCACTGACATCTCAGAAAAATGGTTTAAACATGTAGAAAAGGATACTTAATAACAATCCTTACAAGTAGAAAAGGTGTTTTTGTGTGTGTCAATGCATATGTTTGTAAGTGGATATGCTTATGTATATGTGTGTAATGATTGTCTTTTTGTGAAGTTAGTATCTTTCTTTTTATAATTTATTTAACTTTATTTTTATGTGCATTTGTGTGAAGGTATCAAATACTCAGGAACTGGAATTAAAGACAATTATCAGCTGCCATGTGGATGCTAGAAATTGAACCTGGGTCCTCTGGAAAAGCAGTCAGTGCTTCTAACCTCTGAGTCATCTCTCCAGCCTCATTAGTATATTTCTACCATACATATTCACTCCAGAAAATGTTTAGGCTACATTGTTGAGCTGTTTGATGTAACAGTTCCTGGGAAGAGTTCATTTGCCTTTCTGAGGCTCTGACATGCACCTTGTATAATTTGAAAGACCATGAGATTCAATATAACTTGGATTCAAAGGTGAACTTGAATTCAACATTCTTTCCCAGCTCTATGATATGACATATTCAGTGTGATTCTAAACACCATCTGTTTTCTTCTGGGTGCTGTTGTGGAACATTATTTTAACTATACAAAGATGTGCTACATTTGTGTATGCTGCAGAATGTTACTTTAACTGTGCAAAGCTGTGTTACTTTTGTTTATGCTGCATTTGTTTAATTATGTAAAGATGTGTTGGGTCTGTTTCGCCTTGCCTGTCTAAGGAACCTGATTGGCTTAATAAAGAGCTGAACAGCCAGTTAGCTTGGCAGGGGAGGGATCGGTAGGCCTGGCAGGCAAAAAGAATGAATAAGAGGAGAGATCTAGGTTTGAGGAGGAGGAATGAGAGAAGAGGGAGGAGGAAAGAATGAAGGAGATGCCAGGGGCCAGAAGCAAGCCAGCCATCAGCCAAACAGACATAGAGACAGTAAGAAAGTAAGAAAAGGTAAAAAGCCCTGAGGCAAAAGGTAGATAAAGAGAAACAGATTAATTTAAGTTAAAAGAGCTAGCTAGAAATGAGCCTAAGCTAGGCTGAGCATTCAAAACTAATAATAATGTCTCTGTGTCATGATTTGGGAGCTGGTTGGTGGCCCAAAAGAAAAAGCCTGGTACATTTGGCACACCATATTGGGCACCAGATGAAGCATTTATCTAATTCTTCTTTATCAATAAAACCTTGACCTCCTCCCTCCCTCTCTCTCTCTCTCTCTCTCTCTCTCTCTCTCTCTCTCTCTCTCTCTCTCTGTCTCTCTCTCATTCTTTGATCCAAAAGGGCTTAGATCCTCTCTAAGCCCTACCCTACTATTTCCTGTGTCTCTCTATCTGTCCTCAGACCTCCAAAACCTCTATGATTCATTTTGTACATTTAGTAGCTAGCTCTACCCTCTGATTCAAAGCAAACTTTATTGTCAGTCCCAGGAGCATCAGAATGCAATCAAAATACCACACAACAGGCTGCGTAGTCCTAAACTGAAAATCCTTGATCTCCTGAGTTCTTTCATGAGTTTGTGTATCAACATCTGGATAAACAACTATGGAAAGATGGGCTCCTATGCATGGTACATGAGGGAAACATGGAACTCTTACATGTTTCAGGGGCAGCAAGGAGGGCAGGGCTAGGAGGGCAGGGCTAGGAGGGACAGGAAAAAAAAGAGAATATAAATCCCTGTCTTTCGTGAAATCTATTACATCTAAAAGTCATTGGCTTAGCTAAATATTTGGTAGAAGCTAGTAGCAGTGGGAGTCTGGTCCACCTGGGAGAACAGGGAGGAACACAAAACAAGACTTTAGGAGGAAGAGGATGGTGCAGAACTAGGTTCCTGAGAAGTTGTGGAAATAATTTGGATTTCCACAGTCTGTAGATACCTGATTGAATTATACCAGCACCTTTGTGAATATGTTGGTGTCTAAATTTGCTGTATTACATATGTAGGCATAAATGTATTTTTATGTCAGTTTAACTTGCCAATAGGAGAAGCAACACATTTTTTTTGTCTTATTTAATATAATGTAGTGCTCATGGGAAAGATAACCTAAATTGCCTTTAGGAGACATTCGTTAGTCTCTACCAATATATCTGCTCATCACAAATGCAAAGTTGCTTCCGTTACCTGGAAGCAGAGGCCAGTAATATTGTTCAAGATTCTGCTATGCACAAGACAGACACATTGCTAAAAATTTATGACCCCAAACTTCAATTAGGCCAAGACTAAACCTTGTCTTAGAACAACCACTTACTTCACAGAGAGAAATTGAGTATCAAAGAGGCCATTGGTGTGTGCTAAGTAGCATTGAGAAAAAAGGAGAGATTTTTTTAGTGCATTCCTGTTACGCCATTTAGCGTCTAAGCGCTAGCATTCTACATGGAACTGCTGGAAAGTAAATATTACTGTGAACACATTACACTTTAGATATAGTACATAATTGCACAAATCTTTAAAACACAGCACAGCTAACATCAGGCTAACCAGGCAAGGAGGAGAACAGAGAATTCAATTATGTACCATCTATTCAGGTATAATATAAAAACCATTTTTGTATTTGACCAAATGACAGCCCAGTGTAGTGAATCTTCACACAATTCACAGCTGCCTGGAAGCTATAAGAACATGTCTTGCTATAACCTACACAGAGAAGTTCTACTCAGTATGTCTACAGTGAGGCCTGGAGAGCTGCATTTCTATATGTTCCATGAAAATGCTGATGTTGCCAGCCAACCACTGAGAACCACTGGACTAGCATTTGATGGGGAAATGGCAAATGCTGGCCAAAGAGTACAGGTATTTTAAACTCGAATCTCACCCCTCATGCAATCTCACTTTAAGATAGCATGATTAATGTTCATTCACACAAAGGAATGTAATCATAAAAGTGGCAGGACCAAAACCAGTTTAGACCTAATTTAATTCAAATTCCAAAACACCTAAAAGAAAGAAATCAGTATGTTTTTAAGTTCTTACACAAAGCAAAAACTTTCCTTTTATAATAGCCAATGGAGGCAACATTTAAGCAAAACCAAATGCAATTTGAGAATGCTAGTGACACCCAAAATATGTCTGTATATTCACATACAGACACTTACTTATATTCCAGATGTATGGATAGGATTATGTATGTATTCCTTATTTTTAACATTTTATTTCTGTCAGACCAAGTAATCTTGATCGGATGAGGCTCCTATGCCAAGCTGCATCTATTGACATCAGTAATATAAAATCAGGCCTTTAGGGAGCCATAACTGTCTCTTCAAATGATTTGGGAAAATGTGTACATCTTCAATCAATTAAACACAGTCCAAATGAGGCCTATTTCTATCATAAGTGATCAACACACCCCTATTAATCACGGCTAGCAGTGTGAAATGACACCTAGGGAAATTAATTTCCATAGCACTGGTTTTCATTCTTTTAATTCAACAATGCATAGTATTTCACACGGTTTTCAACAGTCTACTTAGAGAACACGTTGTAGTTAGCCCGCCTTGCACCAGCACTCACTTGGAGACACCCAAGCAGAAGATGAGTCAACTTTTCACTCAGCCCTTTGAGACCATGGAGTGAGTTTACAGAGCCTTTATGTCCTTAACTCCTGCCATGGAGTCCAAATCACAGAATATTGTCAAAAACACATGGGAAGCCAAACACTCAAATGTGCTGCATTTACCTCCAACTTTTAAAATCCATCTATCTTTTCAGGGAAGGTGCACTCTGTTGTGTTATCGTCTCAAGTTTAACTGTATGAAAATTCCCTGCCTATCTTACACTGCTGCGGCAATCTCACCCTGCTACTTGTCCTGCATTTTATGCAGCATGCAGTCCGGGACTGCTGTTTTCACTGCTTCCTGCAGCAGGACACAGTATGAGAGAGAGTCTGAAACAGAATCAGTGCTATTCCGTTTTCACTTATACTCTTAGATGAGTAACTGTTCACATCAAACCAGGGCTCGTCCCTCCAGATCTCCTAAGCACAGCCCCTTCTGACCCAGCGCAGCTAACCCAGCCTCATTCAGTGCTAGTATCAAATGACACTCACAGCGCTGCAGTATTCATCTGGAGACTAAGTAGGCAGGATTTATTATCTGCGGACGTCCCCTAAGTACCAGGTTACTCAAGCTCCATTCTTGTAACAAACAGGCGAGACAGAAGACAAGTGCAGCCGCCACAGAGCTCATTTCCAAGACAAGCGAATTCACAGTTAGAGACAAGGGCAACAGGGCGGCCAAGACCTGCAGTAAATCTTTTCGAGCTCATAGCCATATCTAACAATGCTCTCCTGCAATGCCTCAGATTAAACAGACCATATTCGGTTTAAGCATCGAATCAACACCAAAGAAAATATGCTTGATTAGCAAATTTCAATTTATGATGTTTTTACTTGTGTCTTGACGCCAGGATCAGTGCAAGACTTCCAATGCTTATTCAAGCATGCTGACTTAACTGTAACCTCTTAGTAATGCCTACCTGCACCTCTCAGTCTGGCTGACAGGAACCTGCCAGGACCAAAGGATAAAAAAATAATAATCACTGAATCATGCAAAAAAAAATATTTACCCCAAAAGATGTATGTAGTTAAAGCTCAGCTTCCTGCATCCTCCATAGCCCCTGAAGTGTTAATCTGAAGAAACAGTTCCATGAGTTTCCACAGGCCGGTAGTGAGTCTCCTACACTTGACCTAGACAGACTTACATAACAAAGCATCAGTGCTAGGGAGCTTGTACGATGTCATCACCAGCAAGAATAAGAAGTATTGGCAGCAGCGAGCAGGCGGGCAGGCTGGGATTTTGCATGGAAATCATGAACCCTGCATTGCTTTTCTCTTTTGAAATGTTTTGGAAGGAGAGTTATGAATAGCCCAGAAATAGGTCTCATTTTGTGGGTGGGAAGAATGACCAGAAGCATGAAAGCTAAATCTTCCAGCAAGTACACGGTACCTCTCCTGGAGTGTGCAGTAAACCCGAGAGGAGGAATTGCCTTCTGTGAACTTCTGAAGCATCACATCTGGAGTGAAGAGGACGGCGAGGCAGTGCATAATGCAAAGGATGCTGCTGAGAGCCTTGGTCTGCTTTTAACTCATTGTGGTGAGTAAAGGGGGATATGGTGTCATGAAACGAGAGTTGGGGGCGTAGGTTGTTTTGCAAAGTAATAACTGAAGGGTTTGTAAAGTGTTCTCATACTTTAAGCACATTTTTTTGGAAGCAAAATGATGGTAGAATTATTCTTTGAGATCAAATTGAGACTGTGCTGGGTTAAACTGTTTAATGCATTTTTAACCCCTGATGCTCACCTGAGGACAGGTACACATCGATGTGGTTTGCAGATAAATATCAGATATCATAATTTTACTGTCTACACTGAAAAACAGGTTATTAATATTCTCATTAGCTTTGCATATAGTGAATGATTTTTAGACTTTGAAAGCAATCTCTATGAATGCACCAAGGGAATTCTTGTTTTATTTTATCTTTTTTTTTTGGAGGGGGGTAGTCTTTGTTAGACTCCTTGAAGCCTGAGGGAATATTTTAAACAGTAGATTAAAAAAAATATGTGCACTGCCTAATTATCAATCAATTATCTCAAGTGTATGTAATACAAGTTACATCCTTAAGATCCACAAAGAGTAAATCCAGTCTTCCATCCTGAATCTGAGGATGATGATATCATATTAGCATACCATGACATCATATTATTTAATTATATGTGAAATCATGGTCTTACGTGGGTTGTAGACTAAGCTCTATAGTTTCTGAGGCAACTGAAATAGAGAAGCAGCCATGCACTACTTAAAAATAAAATACTTAAAAAGGTTCTGTTCTTAGCTAGGATTTTGCTTCTAATTTACCACATTGAGACAGGGTGAGGAAATGAGAGAATGTGGGTCTAGGAAAGAACACAGTGATCTAATTCCTCCTGTCACTTAATGAGTAAGGAAACTGCTCTTAAAGGGAGTTAGACATGTCGAAGCTGATGCCGAAGAGGTGAATGGAACATGGTTTTCCTCAAATTCACCTGGAATTTTGCTCTCATAATACAGTAAACAATTGCTTGTTTATTTGTTTGTTTCATACTAGAACATGGGCTGGATTTATAGAGATTTAATTTTTTTTTCCTCAGACTATAATGTCACTAAACAAATGCTGTTTTTCGGTAGTCTAGATTTTGGGAAAACAAGTTCTGTAGTAGATGGTATGAGCAATTTTCTGATCCCCCACCCTGCACTCCAGAATCATAAGAACATACTGGCATAATGTTGAGCTACATTCTCAAAGTCTTAAGTTGTATTCTGAATATTAAGTGATATAGACTGTGTTGATGTGGATTATGTAATAGGCTTCCCCATGCTTTGAAGCATCGATTACCAGGGAATAAACAGCATAGGAAGCCAGGGTTTGGAAAATGTGTATCGTTTAAAAAAGTTCTGTCTTACATCTTTTGAAGAACACTAAAGTCTCTTGTAGTCAGGAATGGTTTTTCACACTTGTGTCTCTTCTGTTAGGACAGTGCTTACCTGCCCTCAAATGTTTGCCAAATGAACAGAGTGCGATGAATAGGGTTCACCACGTACTAACGTACAGGGAGCTGTGTCTACTATGGTTTGGTGGAGTTCTTTGGAGAATAATTTTAAATTGCCTATAAAATTATTCATTAATATGTTAATTTAATAATTGCCCATGAGAATGAGTGCTTTTGTAATACTTGCTTAGAAGCTATTCTTACAGTGTTTCAAGGAAAGATTCTCCTATTAGATGGCAGCAGTACGAGTTTGGCACCACATCAGATGTAACATGGTATTCACCAGCTTAATTAAAGGTGTTTTGGTTTTCCACAGTGATGTGATCGTCTGGAGGGAGGACTTCAGAGTCAGTCCAGCAAACCCCTAATCCTTACTGGCTTAAGCTCAGTTTTCTTCCTCTGGACCATCTTCAGCCCACGTCTTTCATCCTCCCATTTGTTCTTGGTTTGGTTTTATGGTGCTTGGTGTCAAACTCAAATGTGCACATGTTAAGCAATCCTGTACCAAGGAGCTGGACTCTGAGTTTTCATCCTCCTGCTTGTTGCTTCATGGCCTCAGCATGGCTGCCTCACCACTGGCATCTTGACTAAAATGTAAATAAAAAGAAATGGGAAACACTAGGTGTTATGTGCCAACAGTTCAATTGTTATTCTAAGGACATTTCCGGAGGACCATCCTGAGACTGACTTACATCTCATGGTGCTTAACTGTGAAAAATGCCTTCTTCAGGAGTGTCCAGAACAACTGTTTTTTTGGCTGTGCCATTGCCAGATCCCAGTAAACCTTGGGCTCTGTTTTTTAAGGCCAATGTGGTATTCGTCCATATATTAGCTACTTTTGTCCTCGCTGTGACCAAGCACCTGACAAGAAGAGACTTAAGGAGTTAATTTCAGTTTACAGTCAGAAGGTGGAGATATGGTAGCCTGAACTTAAGGCAGCTGGTCACATGATGTCTAAAGTCAGGAAGTGAAGCATGATAACTGTCCCTGCTCAGCTACATTTCTCCTGTTTATCCAGCACAGGACCCCAGTCCATGGAAGTACCTACATTTAGGATGGGTCTTTCAGTCTTAGTTAGCCCAGTCCCTGACAAGCACACACCTAGCTGTCTGTCTCCCTGGTGATGGTAGTGACCTTGTCAAGCTGATAATCAAGGTTAACAAGCACGCCCCCCTATGCATTCTATTTACATTATGGTTTTGATTGCTGGTAAAACTGTACACATTTAGCATAGCTAGACAGTTCAAACTTGTTTAAATTCCAAAAGCACAAAGAGACTTCTCATTGAAAAAAAATATTTTATTTTTAATTGTGTATATGTGTATGGTGGGGGGTGGACATCCATATGAGTGCAGGTGACCTGCAGGTGACAGAGGCCTGAAGATGTCAGACTTCCTAGAGCTGGGGTTATAGGCGTTTAGTTGTCAGTCCCCTAATGTGAGCGCTTCTATTTGAACTGGGATCCTCTGAAAGAGCAATATGTGCTCTTAACTGTTGATGCTCTGGCCCTGAAGCATCTCATTTTATAACTAAGACCTTCAAATACAGTTGTTCAAAGGCTTCTTTGTTAAAAAGAAAACTTACCATGAGAGATCTTAACTCTCAAGATCTCTGTAATAAGTAAAATTAAGCCTCACTAATTTAGAAAAGATGGTCCTACTACTATTGTTGATTATTCCCAGTTTCCCTATTTACCTGTTCAAATCAACTAGACTTGAACCATGAGCTTCTCCTAGGTGATTCATGGGCATCTTTCTATTTTCCATCCATTTAATTATATGATATTGCTAATCGCCAGAAGTCATTCTGCATCCTGGGACATTGGAATAAGCTGGGCCATTTACTTAAGAACCTTACTTTATATTTTATAGGAGTTGCAGCCAGACAAGAATGTAAGATTTCTAATTTTAGAGGAAAAAAAAGATGTATATTAATTTGTCTTAAAACCAATTTTTATGGAGAAGATAGTTGACTTCCAAAGCAAAATTACAATCATCTTGAAATAGCCTCTTCAAAAACAATTGCATATTGCACTAGCCTCTACCTCACTGAAATCCAGGTACAGTCAGTGCCATATATATGTATATGCATATATATATATACATGTATATATATATATAAGTGTGTGTGAGTTTTGTAACATATACCTGCTTTTTGTTTCATTTTTATGATGCAATGTATTTTTTAAATTTTTTCCATTTATTGAAATAGATTCTTTTATCATACCTGATGTCCTGATCAGAGTTTCCTCTCCCTCTGCTCTTCCCAGTTCCTCTCTACCTCTCTTACCCTACAAGTCCACCCCTTTTCTGTATCTCATTAAAGAAGAACATGCTTCTAAGAGATAACAACCAAACATGACAAAATAAAATATAATAAGATGAAACAAAAACTATTATCGCAGTTGAACATGGCAACCCAACAGGAAGAAAGAGTCTGAATAGCAGGCACTTGTGGGTCTTGTAACATATACTTGTAATATCAGGCCTTGGGAGACCGAGGCAGGAGGATCTAGAGTTAAGCCTAGCCCAGGTGATGCGCTGGTCCTAGATCAGCCTGGCCTACATAGTGACAAGTGAAAGCCAATCTTAAAAAATGTGAATGTGATATAATTGTGGTAGCAGATCCAATATGACTTCTTTATGTTTTGTTAGATTTTATATAAGAATTAACTATTCTTCTTTTTTTTTTTTTTTTTTTTTTTGGGGTTTTTTGAGACAGGGTTTCTCTGTGTAGCTTTGCGCCTTTCCTGGGACTCACTTGGTAGCCCAGGCTGGCCTCGAACTCACAGAGATCCGCCGGCCTCTGCCTCCCGAGTGCTGGGATTAAAGGCGTGCGCCACCACCGCCCGGCCTATTCTTCTTTTTGAGAAGCTTAGTATTGTCAGTCCATTTAAAAACATGCCCAATAAATTGCAGAAATAATTTACTTTAAGACTTTATGACACCATTTTTTTTTTTTTTGAGAGAGGTTTTCTTTGTATAGTCCTGGCTGTCCTGGAACTTGCTCTGTAGACCAGGCTGGCCTCAAACTCAGAGATCTACCTGCCTCTGTGCTGGGATGAAAGGTGTGTACTGCCCAGAATGACAACATTCTTAATTAATTCCTTGTTCTTGAATTCTATAAACTATTCTGGTTCCTCCAAACACTCACATTCAGTTCATTATTTCATTATTTTAATACCAATAGAATGATTATAAAGTATATTTTAATCCCTTTTACCTCATCACTCTTTAAAACAAGCAAAAGGAGAGAGTGTGTATGTGTCTTCAAAATCTCATATTACCACCTTCTGTTTGCCTTATACCTCGCTTCTGTGAAGTCTTTTTTTTTTGGTCAGAGTTCAAAATTAAGACATCGGACTTTGAATCCAGCTTTAGAAGTTCAGAACTGAACAGTGAGCCTCACATTTTGATGTGGACATCTGTGAGTACTGGGAGCTGAAAACCAGTCACGCCCCTTCTGCTGAAGACCAGCACTCCCTGGGGGTGCAGACCTTATTGAAGACTGTGTCACCTGAACTGGGTAGTCTAGACTGACCCAGGTTTGCTTCTTTTTTGTTTTTATT